ACACACACACACACACACACACACACACACACACACACACACACACCCCGGCTCCTCTTGTGACCAAATGCCCCAGAGACCACCTCCCCCGCCCAAACGTCAAAGGCGATTTCTTCGCTGATTCTTCCCTGTTCTTCGCCCCGCCCCTCAGGTGCTGGCCCCCGCCCATGGCCACACCCACCCCGAACCGCAGGAGACCCCAGCTGACTCCGTCTCCCTGTCCTCTCGCCTCCTCCCGCAGGTTACGGGCACGCTGCTCCGGGCACGGACGCGGGCAAGGCCTTCTGCATGTTCTACGCGGTGCTGGGCATCCCGCTGACACTGGTCATGTTCCAGAGCCTGGGCGAGCGGATGAACACGTTCGTGCGCTACCTACTGAAGCGCATCAAGCGGTGCTGCGGCATGCGCAACACGGAGGTGTCCATGGAGAACATGGTGACCGTGGGCTTCTTCTCCTGCATGGGGACGCTGTGCATCGGGGCGGCCGCCTTCTCCCAGTGCGAGGAGTGGAGCTTTTTCCACGCCTACTACTACTGTTTCATCACGTTGACTACCATTGGCTTCGGGGACTACGTGGCCCTGCAGACCAAGGGCGCCCTGCAGAGGAAGCCGCTCTACGTGGCCTTTAGCTTTATGTATATCCTGGTGGGGCTGACGGTCATAGGGGCCTTCCTCAACCTGGTGGTCCTCAGGTTCCTGACCATGAACAGCGAGGACGAGCGGCGGGACGCCGAGGAGCGCGCGTCCCTCGCCGGCAACCGCAACAGCATGGCCATCCACATGCCCGAGGAGGCGCGGCAGGGCCGGCCCCGGTACAAGGCGGACGCGGCGGACCTGCAGTCCGTGTGCTCCTGCACCTGCTACCGCCCGCAGGAGTACGGTGGCCGCTCGGCGGCACAGCAGAACTCCTTCAGCGCCAAGCTCGCCCCCCAGTACTTCCACCCCATCTCTTACAAGATCGAGGAGATCTCACCAAGCACACTAAAAAACAGCCTCTTCCCGTCCCCTATTAGCTCCGTTTCTCCCGGGTTACACAGCTTTACCGACAACCACAGGCTGATGAGACGGCGGAAGTCCATCTAGGGTCTGGGGAGGGAAACAGACAGAAGTCATTTGTCATAGCTGACGTTAAGTCTCATTGGCCCACCTTGTCTGATTTATTGATTATGCTTATATCCTTTACTGTTATGATCATTGTCATCACTTTTTCTTTCTCTCCTTCCCTCTTTCTTGGTTTCATTTCTTCCCCACCTTCCCAGCGAGACAGAGCAGGCCAAAGGGAAAAAAGGAAAGGCCCGTCTTCCTGTGAAACTCGCATCTGAGCATGAAGCATGGATTTCTTCCTTCTTCCCAGCAAAGTATGCCTTACATTTCTCCCCAGCCCGCCCCACCTCTGGGGTGGCTTTCCCAGGACAGGTGTGAGACCCAGACAAGGAGACAGAGCCCAGAGGATACCTGACCCAAAGTTGCACACGCGGCTGAGAGCCTCGAGTGCCCACCCACAGTGGTGTCTCTGACCCAACTCCTTTCTCTTTTCCTCCCCAAGCAGTGGGTGGCCGAATGTGTGTGGTCTGAGCGTGTGTGAATGAGTGCACACACCAGTGTGCTTCTGTGTGATGTGACAAAATGGAAAGTATCAGGTATTCATCCTTCTCTTCCGTCACACAATTTTGTTAATAGCCTGCTTTCGGCTGCTTCCAAACAAAACGGGAAAACAAACAAAACCCACGAGGTTTTTGATTTATCATCTTGCCAAATCAAGCATGTTCCACAAGCAGTCTTTATCCCAGATATGTCATGACCACATTTTTAAAGTGCTAGATTCTAAATTATATTAACTTCTTTTTAGGGGGTGGGTGGGCAAGCCGACAAGGACCATTTTAGCTTGCCAGTTCAAAAATTTTTTAGACAAGCATGCACTTTGTTAAACTGGTATGCGTTATCAACACAAGAAAACAAAACTAGCAATGGAATAATCAAAAGCCAATAATATTAATTTATTAGAGACATTTTTAATTTTACCATCTCTAGTTCCAACAATTTTCCATGTAACTGGACGTGTTGGGGGAAACTGGAAAATTGTTGCAACCACAGAGTATTTTATTTTCTCTTATTTGTGTGATGATGATGATTTGTGTAGCATCTACCTACATGAATAAGAATTACAGTTCAGGATGCTTGGATGAGAATGGGTATTGGTAAGTGGATGTGGTTTCTTTTCCTAATGAAAAACGACAGGGCATTCCTCATTTTAAAGAATATATATAACGTATTTTAAGAAAGACTGTCTCTAACTGCATTTGATTTGTAAATAAGGGAATGTTGACGTTGGTCTCAGGAAGAGTTTGGAGGCAAGGAGCTGCGTCTTGGCCTGCTGGGAACTTGTCAGCCTCAGGGGGTGATTTTTTTCTGAATGATGGAGAAATTCCTCCCCACTCTCAACAGGGGATGACCTCAAAGGGAAGGCCTGCTAACATCCTGTGTGCGGGGGGGGGGGGGGG